TTATTTACCTTAGACAAACCCAGTGATGTAAATTAAAATAAGTTTTAAAATATTAGCTGTTAAAAAGGAGTGGATTAGAAAATAAAGTAGTCCCTACTTCACATTAACATTTATGTCATATGAAAATTCAAAATGTTTCCACTTTAAAATCTAAAAGTGGAAAGTAGGCAGTCAAGTGAAATATTATTTAGTAACTATTAGTTTTCTCTAAAAGTTTTATTTTATAATAAATATGGCCTTCTAGTAGTTTTTTTAAGGAATAATAAAGATAAATATAGTTGCCAACCATATCCCCAGCCTCCAATGAACTTCTCTTATCTTACTAGCAAACCAAATCTCACAGGTCTCTAAAAAAGAAATATAAGCATGCCTGTGTAATCTCAAAGTCTTCAAGCACAGATATTTTCTTCACTGGCAAACACAGCCTTGTTCCTGCAACTATATATGTGTTTTACTTCTACGTACTTTTCTTTTTAATTATTAGCTAATTCTCTTTTCTTCTGATCATGACGATCAGCCCTATGACTGCCAGAGTACTGTGCTGTGATTTTCTTAATTTTGCACTTTTTTTCACCTGCCACCACCATGGAGACAATATGTCAAGATAAAATGGCTCGAAAATGAAAAGTGCAAATAGTAAATATTTTCCTCCAGGAAATAATACCATCTGCCATTTCTTGAGTGTTTATTTTCTCAAGGCACTGTGTTAAATTCATAGTGCTTTTTATTATGTTATATATCTCCATGCTAACCTAATGAGATAAGTACTATTATTTTCTCCATTTTACAGATGCATATCCTCAAACTCAAAGAGGTAAATGGAATCACTAGTACATAAAATAGCTGGAAAATAGCTGGAATTTGAGTGCAGGTCTACAACCTACACTCCTTTCTTTCTTTTTTTTTTTTTGTCAGCTGGCTGCAACCTGCACTCTTAATTCTTATTTTGCCATGCTCTTTCCCAGTTATTATAGGCATGGGTAAAGATTAAACTCATCACCATGGAAGTTCCTAATTTTGTTAACTTCAATTGAAATCAAACTACAAAC